ATTCGTCGCCAGTAATCGTAAGCCTATAAGTAGTAACTGTTGTGCCTCTGATTCCAGAACCAGAGACTCCTTTCAATCCCTTAATTAAGTCATCCAATGTTTTTGTGTCTATATTTTAACCATTTTTGAAATCAAAATATCCTTCGACTCATATTTATTCAATTCAAACCTAATCTGTGGTCGTGGATCAGATGGATGTGATCCCATTCACTCATAAAGTCATACTTCATATCGATTAGCATTGGTATTATGTCATTAATTGATTTCATAACTAAATTAATTTGTATAATATATAAATTAGTGAACAAATAATATGATATAAACTAAATGCAAAGAAGTGAGACCTGGAAATCCTAATCCTTGATCAGCCGGCGGTCGCATACAGTTGTTCTCGATTACAGACAACAATAGAGTTGACGGACAGTTCTCTCGTAGTAACGAATACAGAATTTTCGTTTTTGCACATTTCAAAGCACTTATTATGACCATAAGCTGTTTACCTAATTGTTATTTTAAATCAATTTAATTGTTGTACTATACAGTATGTCACATATTGTTATATATTGAGGTGTAATACAATATATTAAATACAGTATATGTATATAGTTTGCCAATCAAATGATAGTAAACTGTTAATTTAAGAAAGATTGAACAAAATTTACAACATTATTCAAATTCTCCCACTATTCTGAGCTTATTTTAATGAAACAACCTTACTTTATAGGAGCCTATAATACATGTACTACATTATTTTTCATTTTTGTGAAATATTTTAATATTGTCGTCTAAAGATCTTAAGTTAAATAAGATAAAATTAAGATAAAATGATTATAATTTAATACTATATCTTACATGCACAATAGCATAATGGTAAAAATAATACTAATATATAGTACGGTATATTATGTATTAGTATTGTAATATTGTACTTATTTTGGTGAATAAATAAGCGAATGATTGAATGAGAGGAAAGAGAAAGAATTATTACTTTTGTTTAACTCTTATTAATGCATCAAAACTACAAGAATATCATTCAAGGGATATAAGGATTAGTGTTATGAACACAATATCATTATACGGTATATTTGATTAAGAATTCATGTTTGCTGAATTAAAAGTTTACCATATAAGTATTGTATTATTCTCACGATTCTTACGTAAATATATTCTGTAGATATATTAATATAATATAAAAATACATTATATTTAAATACAAAAATTATATTTAGAGTTGTGTGAAGAGGACTCGTATTAATAAAAACAAGTGATAAATGCTAAAAATATGAAATGTTGTAATAATAAGTTATTTATAATAAAACGCATTCAAAGAAAACAATCAATTTTAAATTTGATTAAATTATAACAACAAATTGATTAATAAATCAATAATTTTTTTACAAATTATACTTATAAATATTTTATAGCCTATAAATTATAGGTAACTAAAAGAATTGTCAAAATTTTAATGTTCATAACGAATAATTATATTGAAATTAATAAGACTTACAAACAGACGGGTCTTCTTCGACATCGTTTTCAAAGTCAGCAAAATCTGAGATAATGTGTGTCTCGACGGACACATTGCTAACCAATTGTTGCTTAAAGTCATCGACCAAACGGTTTATGGTCTCATTGGTAATCGCTCTCACGGTCTCGATATTGTAGTCCAAAATTAAGCCTAAGATTATTGGAAAAAAAGAAAAAGAAATGAAAACTTGGAATTATTTAATTAAGTTTTAATAATTATTTAGTGAATACAAACCCAATCTTAACACTTGAGGCGTTGTGCCAAAAGTGCAAATTAATTGTCCAAAAAATAGCGAAACAAAAATCCAGATTTTAAGCATTTTATCTGATGTTTAATTCATGCTATGTATCAGACTTTGAGCACAGAATATATTCCGAGTCCTTGAAAATTATTCAACACTTGAACTAAAAATTCAGACTAAAATGTTTTGTACGCAAAAGAAACGCTTATTTTGATAGTCATTAGAATATTCTTTGTTACGAAAGAAATCAATAAAATATTAACGTTTGGAAAGTGTTTGACATATAATTTTTATAAATTGATTGTCATTTAATGACATGTTTTGCTGTTATGCCAACAGATTTGTATTCGTTGGACAACATATTCTTCATTTAAAGCCGTATTTGTATTGATTGACAAATGCAAAACTAGTACAATTCTCACCTTGATACTACATTGCTAACACTTTTACCTGCCCTATATTATATCTATTTATTGTACATACACAGTTACTTACCTTATTGTGTAACATTTAAATATAAGAATATACGTTTTATAGAAGTGTATTGGCATAAAATATGTATAGGAAATTAAGTTGAATATGATAAACCAAAACTGGCTATGCCTAAAACGAATTGATGATGTATTGATTTTATAGTATATTTAAATGCATAAAATTTTAATAATTTTTGAAAGTAATAATTAAATATAGAAATCAAAAATATTTAATTAATGTAAATAAGGTATAAACAAAGAATTTGTTAATTA